GAGAGAGACTTAACTTGGCATACTCGTATTCAGCGCGAAAGTGATAAAGGTGGAAAGTGGCCAGCATTTGCATGTTTATTCCACTTCTTTAATTCGTAGGGTCTTTGCACTCTACTGTGGACGAACTCAGTGTCAATTTTCACAAGCAAATGTTATTTTCTACCATTTAGCAATTAATATAAATTAAATAATTTCAAATGAATTCTATTTAATTTGAAAATAAAATAAGGAATTAGACATTTTTGCAAGGATTAAAATTTGTTAACTACAACAATTATATAAGTAGTTTTAACAAATTTAGAAACCATACCCTCATAACAAAAGGATATCCATAGGATATCCATAGGATATCCATAGGATATCCATAGGATATCCATAGGATATCCATAGGATAACCATATCAATGGTCGATATCCTAGAATGGTCCCCAGGATATCTTGGGATATTCATAGGATATCGATAGGATATCCAAACCGCCGGTCTGTGGGACATCAACAGGACATCCATAGGATATCCACAGGATATCCCTAAGACATTCACAAAATATCTATTGGATATTATATCGTACTCGTAGTCTCATAATGACTTTAAAAACAGTATCCTGAGAATATATTCTTGACATCCAGAAGATATACTGAGAATATCCTGAAAATATCTGTGGGATATCCTGACGATATCTATGGGATATCCTGATGATATCTGTGGGATATCCTGACGATATTTATGGGATTTCTGGAGGACATTTATGAAAGTCTATAGTGATATCCAAAAGATATCCTGTGGATATCCTCAGATAGCCATGGGATATCCAAAGGACATCCAAACCGCCGTTTTTTTGGATATCCTTAAGAGATCCTTTTGATATCCATAGGACATCCCTACGATATCTGCGGGATATTATCAATATATCCGAAGATATCTTGTGTTATTAGGGATAAATTTTAATATATTGGAAACTGGTTAGTTAAATAAATAATAATTATTATTTAGTCAGGGTGCGGTGATTCTTCAAATATATATGTACAGAAGAAACAAAAATTTTTTTTAATTTTACTTTTTCAAGTTGGTTGAAAAAAATAAAATTTTAATCCAAGGATACGGTGTCAGTAACGTCAGAGGGAATATTCAAATTCGTTAGATTCTTAAACCAACTATTTTTAGAAAAAGTAGATTTGAAATTCTGTTTACTTAACAAATTCGCAAACTTTATTCTATGCATTTTTTAGTTTCTCAGATATATATGCAAGTTAAAAAAAAAGTTATCAATAATATAAAATTTAATGAATGTACATATAGTAAATGTTCTTTTTAAAAATTAACAATTTTTTTCAAGTTACAAAATAATTCCCTTAATTATATTCAGGTGTTTTATTCACTTAACTTTAATTTCTACCTACAAAAAAACGAATGGGGAAATATTTCGCCTATAGACACGTGCTGCTATTGTTATCCCTTTAATCCCATGTTGAATGAGAAGGTACCTGCAGACACCAGACGCCACGTGCCTGTTATTGTGCTTGGAAACCCTTCAGCTGTCTCGCCTTTCTAATAGATCTCTTTGAATGGTTTGCGTTTAAGGGTGTTTGTGAAAGTGTCACCTTCCTTTATATTAGAAAATTTTCCATGCCATCAATTACTACTAGTTGTTTGTTTGTTATTATTGTCCATTATTTTGACGATTTTCGACAAAATTTTAAGATAAACTCTGTGCAATATATTATGCATTGATTTTGTGATGATAAATTTGTCATTTACAACTTCAAAACTTCAATGTGAATAATTATAGTTATATCTATTATTAATAAAATTAGATTTTTATTTATCAATATGATATTTAATATGTGAGATAATTGAAAAGTGTTCCGCATCACTTCACGTGTTGCGATAAGAGTAAATTTGTAAACAATGAATAAAATGCGTAAAGATTCAAAAATATTAAAAGGAATATTATATGATATGAAAATTCATATTTTTTAGTGTTTAGATCCAGTCCCATATTCCGGATCCCAAATTCCGGATTCCACTTTCAAAATTCCGTATTCTGGATTCCACATTCCGGATCCCACTTTCAAAATTCCCTATTCGGGATTCCACATTCCGTATTCCACTTTTCACATTCCGTATTTCCGATTCCACATTCAGGATCCCACTTTTAAAATTCCGTATTTCAAATTCCACATTCCGGATTCTAATTTCAAAATTCCGGATTCCACTTTTCACATTTCGGATTTCAAATTCCAGATTTCACATTCCGTATTCTAAATCCCACATTCCAGATTCCACTTTTCGCATTCCGGATTCTACATTCTAAATCATTCTGAATTCCCATATTCTGAAAACGGAATCCGGAATATGGAATATGGAATCCGCAATGAGGGATTCAGAATGTGTAAAGTAGAATCCGGAATGCAGTATACGGAATGTAAAAAGTGAGATCCGTAACAGTCAATTCGGAATATGTAAATTAGAATATGTGGAATTCAAAATACGGAATATGAAATGTGTGATCAAAAAATTTGTAATCCGTTATATGAAAAATGAAATACGAAATGTGGAATTCGGAAAAATTTACGTAATTGACCCCCTAATGGTCAATTACGTAACTTTTTCCGGATCCCACTATTAAAATTCTTTATTTCAGATTCTTTATTCCACATTTAAATTTCCGTATTCCACATTCCAGATTCCACTTTCAAAATTCCGTATTTCAGATTCCTCATTCTAAATCCCATTTTCAAAATTCCCTATTCGGGATTCCATATTCCACTTTTCACATTCCGTATTTCGAATTCCACATTCCGGATCCCACTTTCAAAATTCTAGATTCCACAGTCCAGAATTTCACTTTTCACATTCCGTATTCCGGATTTCCCATTTCGGATTCCACTTCCAAAATTCCGAATTCCATATCCAACATTTTGAATGTGAAATCCGGAATGTGAACAATGGGATCCGGAATGTGGAATCCAGAATTTGGAACCCCGAATACGGAATTTGAAATGTGGGAGCCGGGAAGTGGATCCCGGATTATGGAATGGGAAAAGTGGAATCCGTAATGTGGAATATAGGATTCGGTATGTGGAATCCGGAATGTAAAAAATGGAATTCGGAATGTAGGATCCAGAAAAAGTTACGTAACTGACTCCCAGTATAAATGACAAATTATACTTCGGAATTCGGAATAGTGAAAGTTTATAGAAAAGAAAGAAAGAAATATAACAGTTTTAAAAAATATTGCACTTAGTTTTTTTTGTAGAAAATTAAAAATAAAAAAAACCGTTGCTAAATTGAAGTATGAACATTTAAATTTCCGTATTCCGCATTCCAGATTCCACTTTCAAAATTCCGTATTTCAGATCCCACATTTCGAATCCCATTTTCAAAATTCCCTATTCGGGATTCCGTATTCCACTTTTCACATTCCGTATGTCGAATTCCTCATTCCAGATCCCACTTTCAGAATTCCGCATTTCAGATTCAACATTCCGAAATCCACTTTCAAAATTCCGTATTTAAGATTTCTCATTCCGGATCCCGCTTTCAAAATTTCCTATTTGGAATTCCGGATTCCACTTTTCACATTCCATATTTCGAATTCCACATTCCGGATAAGAGTTTGAAAATTCCGCATTTCAGATTCCACATTCAAGATTCTACATTTTACATTCCGTTTTCCGGATTCCACTTTTCACATTCCGGATTCGACATTCGGAATCCCATATTCCGCATTACACTTTCCATATTGCGGATTCCACATTATATATTCCGTATTTTACATTTTGGATTCCACTTTCAAAATGCCGGATTCTACATCCCACATTCTGAAAGTGGAATCCAGACTGTTGAAAATGGAATCCGCAATGTGGGATCCAGATTTTAGAAAGTGAAATACGGAATCTGGAATATAGGATCCAGAATACAGAATTTCAAAAGTCGAATCCGGAATGTGGAATACGGAATGTGAAAGGTGGGATCCGGAATGTGGAAATTGAAATATGGAATGCGAAATGTGGAATCCGGAATACGAAATGTGACAACAAGTAGAATCCGCAACTTGAAATGTGAAAAGTGGAATCCGGAATACGGAATGTTGAATCCGAAATTTTGAAATTAGAATCTAGAATGTGGAATCTGAAATACGGAATTTTAAAAGTGGGATTCGGAATGTGGAATTCAAAATTCGGAATGTGGAAACCGGAATATGGAATTCGAAATGTGGGATCAGGAATCCTGAATTTTGTAATTATGATCCGGAATGTGAATCCGGAAAAAGTGACGTAATTGACCCCCAGATAAGTTGAAACGATGGGTTTTTTTTTAAAAAAATAGAGATTTAATGAAAGTAGGAGTAAAAATCTTGAAAAAAGGGAAATTATTCCATATTTTACACTATTTTACATTACAGTAAAAATCTCATAAAGTCCGTAATTTTAACATACACTAATAAAATAAATCAGCCAGCGAAACGTAATTATAAATCTAAAAAATTTTGAAATGTTACCTATTACTTTAGTTCAACTTAAAAAAAAAAATGAAATATTCCCAATATAGATTTGAATTATATTGATATATAAAAATTTAATTATTTTATGAAACAAATTCTGTCATAGTTTATATACGAAAAGACGATCAGGTTTATATATTTATCTCAAGCAGAGATTTGAAAATATGTATGATACGACTCTGCGCCTGGCAGCTGGCTCACATGGCTCGACATAACCAGCGATAAAACTCTAGAACCCCCAACGCTGCTGTCTGACTTTATCGAGGCGGGGTTCTTGTTTTTAATAAAAATTGCGGACTAAACTCAAGATTAAAAAATTCGCTCATATTACAGGGCGCGATAACCTCGTAACTTTGGATTATAAAAAATTAGATATCCTCCATGTTGTTGTAGGAGATGCTTGCAACTTCATAATAGTGTTTACTTGCTACTCCCAACCCTTGCTCTCCCTTCTCTATCTCCCTCTATCTCTTCTAAGTGATGCAGATCAACTTACCTGAAATTCCATCATACGTCCACCATTCCTCCCAACTTGCTTTTGAAACTATAACAGAAAAATTAACAGTCTATTAATATTATTTTCCTTCAAAATTTTATAATACATTATCGACTGTATCGTGTGTTTCTTATATCAGAAAATTAAATTGCTAAGCTCAATTAATTATATTAACTAAATAATCTTTAAATATATTGTTTATTTATAATAAAGGTTTCTAATAAAAGTTAATGACTTAAAAAGGTTTTTCGGATGAATACTGTGCTATATATACAAACTCAATACAAATGTAAACTTCTATAATATAATCTTTTATGTATTAATAATAATTCATGACAAACTTAAAAAAATGTTGTAAATAAATTTAATTTATTAATTTTTTTTATGTAACCTAAGAATAAGTAGTATTAATCATTAAGGGGTTAACTTTTTTAAGCTTTAAATTGCAAAGGTTAAAGATTTTTTTCTCAAAAGTTTCAAAATATTAAATATATAATATATATATATATATATATAAAATCAAAAATAAAAATTAATAAATAAATAGATTCTTCTTAATTGTTAATAAATATTATTAATGTTAATAATTAATTTTATATTTGAATAAAAATTAAAGAATATTGAAAATTATAATGAAACATTGTTTAAAATTATTAATATTATTAAAATTGATAATAAAATTTATAAGTTTCATTAAATAATTAATAAATAATTATAAATAATAAATAATAATTAAATAATATTATAATTAAACAATGTATACTTATAAATAATTAATATTATTAATTAATTTTAACACTTATTAAAATGTTAGGTTATATTATTACATTTAATAATAAAAGTTAACAGTTATCATAAAAATTGTAATTTTCTTAAAAATTAAGCTGTCGACGAAATTCAAAAACATTTATATATAACATTTTAATTAATAATTATTTATAATAAATATTTTATTAAAAAATTAAAAATTTACAATAAATAATAATAATCCTTAATTCAAATTAAAAGTTATAAGATTCAAATAATCAAATTTTTATAAAAAATATACAAAGCAAAATACAAATTAATCAAATTAAATAAATTTTTTCTAATTCTATAATACGAATGTTTCACAGGAACATTTCCATAAACATTTTTTTTAAACTTCAGAATAAATCTATGACAAATTTTCAAAATTTCAATTCAGTCCCTCATAACAAAAGGATATCATTCATATCAATGGTCGATATCCTAGAATGGTCCCCAGGATATCTTGGGATATCCATAGGATATCCAAACCGCCGGTCTGTGGGACATCAACAGGACATCCATAGGATATCCACAGGATATCCCTAAGACATTCACAAAATATCTATTGGATATTATATCGTACTCGTAGTCTCATAATGACTTTAAAAACAGTATCCTGAGAATATCTTCTTGACATCCAGAAGATATACTGAGAATATCCTGAAAATATCTGTGGGATATCCTGATGATATCTGTGGGATATCCTGACGATATCTATGGAATATCTGGAGGACATTTATGAAAGTCTATAGAGATATCCAGAAGATATCCTGTGGATATCCTCACATATCCATGGGATATCCAAAGGATATCCAAAGGATATCCAAACCGCCGATTTTTTGGGTATCCTTAAGAGATCCTTTTGATATCCATAGGACATCCCTAGAATATTTGCGGGATATTATCAATATATCCCAAGATATCTTGTGTTATTAGGGGTAGAACAAATTTTAAAAAATAATAAATAATAAAATAATTAATAATTTTTGAAGTAATCGAATTTGGAAGAGATATATTTAACTATTTCAGAAATAATTAAAATTTCGAGAGATATACAAAAAGAAATTTGGCAAATTTGATTTGATGAAGATTTTTAACACAGTTCAGAAGATAATTGAATTAAAAATAATTTTTAATTGAAAAATGTGTCTATTAATGGAATTTTTGAAGTTTTCCTCTAGGTCTATCTACTTTATACTTGAAAGTTTTCACACAACACTCACGCCTAAGGATATGTCCTATTAACCTATTGGTCTGCTTTTATATCCTAGAATACAAGCTAAATCTTGTTTTTTTTCTCTTTATTTTTTATCAATTATTATTTATCTTCATATTTATTTTTATATTTCAAAATATTATAAGCAGAATAAAAACTATTTGCTTCATATTTTGAGTTTACGTGTATTTTGATTTACAAAAAAAAAAAAATATCTGCTGTGTTATTCTGTATTTTCATTTAATTTTCACTTTCATTACACTTGAATTTCACTTTCCATTAGGTGAAAGTGAAATATACAAAAAGAAAACAAAAATTTTTGAAAATATTTTCAAAATTTTGAATATTACTTAAATTTGAAATCCTACATTTTTTAAATATAGTTAAACTTCTAATCAGTGACCTTCAAAAAAAAATTCACAAATATGTTTTATAAAAATTCAAAAATTTTGTAAAAAAAAAGTATTCACCATTTTAAATGATGTAAATCTGACATGAAATTTTTAATCAGCGTCAAAGAAAAATTACCCCTACATACCAAGGTTCATAAAAATCCTGTAATACAGATATAAATTTAGTAATATGTACTTTCTTTTTAGTATCTAATTTGCGTTTCCTGTAAAATTTAGTTTTTTTTTTTATCTTTTGGTACATGTTCTCTTTCTTTTTTGGAATCACTCAACCTAGTGTTTGTATAGGTATTAATATAATCTTTTTTTTTAACCTTGTATTCTATTTTTAAAGGTTTTTTTGAAAGTTCTAATAAAACCAAATTTATATATCATATATAACAATTGACACAATTTTTAATAAAGTAAATATATATATTATATTTACTGACGTAAAAGGGATAGAAGTGTAACAAAAATAAATAAATAATTCTTTAGAAAAAGTGAAATATGATTGTTTTCTGAAGTAAAAATTTTTTTTTTACTCCCTCTTTTTATGTTTTTTATTTTCAGAACAACCATAATATTGTTACTTTATACGATAAAGTAGCAGAATTTGCTAATATCCATTATTTTTTCATTACCTATCATAATGTCAAACGTTTCCGTATAATGCTTACTTTACAAGCTATAACTTCATTTTGGTCGTCACTTTACTGTAACGTGATATTTTTTCATGAAAAATTGAATTTTTTTTAATCCTAATTTTTAACGAAAGCAGAAAGATGTTTATAAAAAGTATTTGATTATAATTTTCCTTGAGAGAATTGTTTTATGGAATTTAACAGTTTTATTTAATTTTCAATTTGGCATATTTAATAAAATAGTATAATTAAAAGAACTAAAATATTTGAAATAATTCTATTAGTTAAAGAATTTACAGAATAAAATGTAAATAAGACCCTCATAACAAAAGGATATCCCTAGGATATCCATATCAATGGTCGATATCCTAGAATGGTCCCCAGGATATCTTGGGATATCCATAGGATATCCAAACCGCCGGTCTGTGGGACATCAGCAGAACATCCATAGGATATCCACAGGATATCCCTAAGACATCCACAAAATATCTATTGGATATTATATCACAGGATATCCATGGGATATCCTCAGGATGTCCGTGGGATATTCTTAGGATATTCACGGGATATTTAATATCTCAACATATATTTTTAAAGGTTAAAATTGTTAAGCTAATATAATGAATAATAATATAATAAAAACAAAAATCTTATGAGCTTCTAATTTAATTCAAATGAAGATTTGAAACGCATTTTTCAAAGTTTTTAAATAAACTCATGCACTTAATGTATAATTAATATTAATAGTTATTCGTTATTTGCGGGGAAGAATTTATATTGTTTAAAGCCAATTTATTTTCTGACAATATTAAGCAAATATGAATAAAAGAATGAATCACGAATGAGAAAAAAATTAGTTAATAATTTTTCAAATTAAACAACTTTCTCGAAAAACAAGTTGCATTTTATTTTATTTATATAAAATTTAATTCACAGAATATTCTCACTCGTAGTCTCATAATGACTTTAAAAACAGTATCCTGAGAATATATTCTTGACATCCAGAAGATATACTGAGAATATCCTGAAAATATCTGTGGGATATCCTGACGATATCTATGGGTTATCCTGATGATATCTGTCGGATATCCTGATGATATCTGTGGGATATCCTGACGATATCTATGGGATATCTGGAGGACATTTATGAAAGTCTATAGAGATATCCAGAAGATATCCTGTGGATATCCTCAGATATCCATGGGATATCCAAAGGATATCCAAACCGCCGATTTTTTGGATATCCTTAAGAGATCCTTTTGATATCCATAGGACATCCCTAGGATATCTGCGGTATATTATCAATATATCGCAAGATATCTTGTGTTATTAGGGGACCGCTAAATAATACACGACAGGACTGGATCAGAAATAACTGTAGAAAACGCAAGACAACAAGTGAAACAAGTAAAAGTTTAGTCAGACACAAGAGTCAAATAATGCATCTCCAAATATATAGTCAGTAACTTTTTTTAGAATCATTTTCACTGAACAATTACAATTTGAATATATATAGCAAAAAAAAATGTTCTTTTCTTAATCCATTCATAAAGTTCTTCTCACAGTTATATGTATATGTGTACATAAGAAAGAGCATCCGGAAGGTCACTCGTAATATCCTGTTGCCTCAAGCTTCGGAAAAAGTAGGTCAAACAAAAAATACTTTATACAAGAGTGAAAACAAGGTGGTGACAATTCTAGAAACTCGTTTCCAAGAATTCAAAAAAAAAAAAAAAAAAATTTACTTTACAAGAAAGAAATTAAAAGGATTTTGCAGTTAATGTATATTGAAATTGGTTTTAAGTAGATTTTTTTTCAATAGAATACACAATAAAATGAACAATGAAATCAACTAACTTCATTAGAGAAAAGCTTTTGATGTATTTTACAGACTTTATAAAACCCTCTCTTGTTCGAGACCTATATAGTGATTATTATTTAATTGTGAATTGCGACTCAGATAAAATTTTGTTAAGAATAGCATTAACCATAAATAAATTTGAATTTCTG